ATTCGAAACTATTTTTACAGATAATTATTTTTAAATAAAATTGTGATTTGGCAAATACTTGAATACGACCTTTAAAAGCAGTAAATCTGCTAAATATATGACGTGAGAGTTTTTTTTTTTTTCAATTTATAGAATCCTTAAGATCGATCTAAGACCCACTCAATATCGTATTCGTAATTTTGTGATATCGCTAGTGAAAAACATCGAAAAAAAAGAAAAGAAAGAAAGAATCGCATGGATAGTCGGAAACGAGTGAAAAATTTCAACACGCAAAGGAAACACAAAAGCGCGGCGGGCCCGTTCTACGAGCGAAAAACAAGTTTCCTCTCGGAAACAAATGCGGAAAGATCGATCCGCGTTCCGCGAAACGACGGCGCGGCGCGGCGCGCCGCGCCGATTTAGCGGCGAACGCGGCCTGAAAATCGGTGGTTTCTGCGAAACAATTCGCCTTTTCAACAGCCCTCGCTGTGCCAATCGACGATCAAACGACGCCTCGAACGACGGAACGAACGTGTGCGTGAACGCGCTACGTACTACGTCACGTACGCGGGACTGTGGCAGGTACGGGGGCAGGTACTCTTTAATCCGCGACAGCAGCCGCGTGTCGGGTCGATAACCGATAACGAGGTCGAGGCATTGCGATGCAAAACAGCTCGTTAAATGTTTTTCCTAAGGTCGCGCGATGCCGCCTTTATCCTCGCCCTCGAGCGGCCACGAGCAAGAGACGTTAAGTTCTCGAAGAGCGGGACGGCTCTCGAAGATGACGACGACGACGACGACGATTCTGTGTGTATTGTCGAGAGAAGAGGAAGGAGAATCGTCTTCAATCGTCTTGCCATTGCGAGTTCCTCTCGAAAGAGGCTTATTATTTCCGCCCGATTTCCCGCCGTACGTCCTTCTGCGGACTTTTGCGAAACGTCATATTAATCCTCGACATGTTTTATCACAGGAAAAATTAGTATATCGTTAGGGAAAGCTGTGCGGAAAATTTTTAGATTAATAGCGAGGAATTCAGAGGGATGATTAAGATCCTTTCAATACTGTTGCGAATTCATTTAATTAGTTTCGATTTATTATAGCACTGGCATGTGACTTTTCAAAAAGATTTATCAGTGCTGTACGCTTTGAAAATTTAATTGTTATCTAAAAAATCATAGTCAAGTGAACAAATTACAATTATCAATATCGAAAATATTAAAATTTATTCTCTTAAGATATATCTTATCTATAATTTTCTGAAATATAAACACATTTCATACGGATTCTCATAGCTAAGTATCACTGAAGAGATAGTTTTGCAGTCAAACAATTATTTAAATACGAAAAATTAGCTGAAATGGATAGCAAATCTCTCAATATCGTATGTTTTACATCTAATTTATAGGATGACGGAGACAAAATTTATATCTGAATAATTTGTCAAATTTAACAGAAAAATCCCTGTTCCAACGTCTAGTCACACATCTTA